GTACAATATAAACTCATGTATAGACGTTCTTCTCCCTTGCATGGCCGCTTGTCGTTTTCTTGCTGTTTCCTATGTTCTCTTTCTTAAACAATCTGCATGTTTTCCTGCTTACCTGTCTGTCTCCGGGGCTGCTACCGGAATCCATGCAACGAGCATTTCGACGCCTTATACTTACTAAGTACTGACATCCCCCTTGCTCGCCCTAAGTAACGCTGTCACAAAGCTGCCAGGGCGGCCCAGGTTGAAGCGTCGATCTGCAGGCGGGTGCAATCTGGATTTAACAGAGCCAAGGGCCCAATATCAGACATACACGAGCCTCTAGGTTTGAAGCACAGCTGGGGTTCCAGGCCGATAGTTAATATGTCCAACTCCACTGTCGACTTTTCTTCACCTCTCACTCGTTCGAAGATATGGGGGAATATCGGCATCACCAGAAAAGAAGAAACCCGAATGGATCCCAAACTTCTTCTTCACCTTTTTCAAAAAAATAAAAATAAAAAATAAAAAAGGTCCCGAAACTGTGTATACAGTCTGATCGGGATTTGTCAGTCAGCTCAGTCTCGGCCGGCTTCGTTGGCATTGGTCGTTTCAGCCCGTGTCTGTTGCTGCATGCCAGCCAGCACGGCGAGGCGAACACGCTGTATTATTGCTTGGGAATAAGCTGATATTATCACACACACGGGTGCTATCTATGCAACTTGATGCAGGATGCGGGAACATCAGCATGCTTGACGTACGCACATGTGAGCAGTATCGGTTGCGGGACTGTCAGAGTGCATTTGATTCCAACTCAGATCGTGATGATAGGCTCTGACCGGTGACCGGACCGAACAAGCAGCCCTTCGAGACCTCACAGCGTGGCCAGGGACCATTAAGTGGGTGATTCGTCGCTGCTCGTATACGGCTAATGGTCCTTATGCAGGTAGCTCGTTACCAATGATATACACGGTCGTGAAGAACTATAGACTATGTATAACTAGCGTATATGCATAGAGAATCACGGCCGGCCCGGACTGAGAGGTATCTTGTATCTAGTCTCGCAAAGTCGCATGGTCTCGAGACCTCGGAGATCGAGCACCTTTCTGTTGGAGGCATAATAAACGAGCAGATACACCAAGGGGGCTTCTTCTCCTGACCGTTCAACTGTTTTTCCCTCAGCGGGCAAATAACCTGTTACGTCAGAGAGACGTTTACAATAGTCAGGATATGATGTATGGACTAGGTTTCGTGACCGATTAAAGGCATTCGTTTTTACTCTGTTTCCAGTATCTGCTTCCTGGTAGTAATAATAATGAAGGCATATGATGAAAAGACAGAGTTTCGAAAATCGAGCAAGGCGAATTCATCCCCCCTGGTCCGAAGGGGGCGATTCATGCAAACCCTCAAAATACGTTTGATAAGGACCGGTTTTCGGGCCAAAACAAGATGTGGCCATAACATGTATGATATGGAATTGTAGGGAACATGGTGAATGGGATATGGAATATGGTGGAGAGAAGACCTGGCCACCGTCACTTATCATCTGATGGCATTCCTGATAACTTCAACATGACGTAGAATGATAATCGGATCTGTGCAGGCATACCTCTAGGCTGATTTGAAACACAGCCCCCGAGAGATATGGAAGAAGCCGAAACGGCGTGGCTTTCTGGCCGTGACGGGTGGCTTGCGGGGGTAAGGCGGTCGGATGCAGGGCGGTTTGGCAACCCGGGCAGGCGTAGATTTCATGAACAGACAGACCATTTGGAGGGAGGAGAGGAGAGAAGAGAGAGAAGAGGAGGACGAGGAGACGAAAAAGAAAAAGACGTAGGATTTCTACTCATACATAGAGAAGAAGGAAAAGAGGAATATGCCCTTTATCTACCAAATGCCCAAGCATGCGCGCAGTGGTGGCTTCACCCCAGCTCCATACCCCTGTTCACCATCATATGAAAAATAGGAAAATTAGAAAGGGTGAAATGTTGGGAATAACAAAAGGAAATAGAGGCAATAACAGGCAGGATACAGGTGTCTGATCAGAAAATGGAGGGAGGGAGGGAGAATAAAGGAGATATTATCAAGTCCAGCACCGCGTACACTAGTAGATGCGTCGATTCAGAGGCAGTTGTCGAGCAGCTGGCCATATCATGGGTTCGGGGAGTTAACGACACTGGAAATAGGGATATAGGGGAAAGGGTGTAGACATAGATATCGGAAGAATAGCCAACGTCAAAGACAGGCAGCCTGCAAATACGGTAAATAAAAAAAAGGGAAAGAGAGCAAGAAAAAGTCGCAGAGATAACAAGGAGAAGGCATAAACTTCATGGGTGTATGGCATCATGACAAACCTCAATTCTATCATTATGGGATTTTCGACGACCTCTGGTATGAATCTGGAATTCCAACGTAAGGGAGATACGTTGAGAATGCTTCTCATGTACTGTCACAGCAGCGTAGGTAGGCTATTCAGGTTCGGTCATCTTGTCTTTATCGTCGTCATTAGTAGCGGATTTCTGCTGTGCCTCATGAGATGCTGGCTTTTCAGTGGTATCCTTATCTTCGTCCATCGACTGCTCGGCACGAGCCTTGTTTTCAATGTCAGCGGCATTTTTCCTGGCCATCTCGACGATTCTATCAGCTTCGCTCATGGTCCTTTTCGAGGAGTCGCCGGTATTGTTTAGATCTTTAGGGGAGGCTTGACGGTTTGCCTCCTCTGCCGTGGCTTTGGTATCAAAGCGGACAATCATACAGGAAAGATTGTCGGTACTGAAGCGTGAAAGAGCATAGTCGACGAGTATCTTCGAGGCAGCCTGGGGATCTTTGGTGTTGCGAACCAAGTCCACAGCCTCCTGGTCAGAACAAACGTCCCAAAGCTAAGGAGAGTCAGTAAGAATTTCTTCGGTGAAAAGGCAAGTGGGTTACAGGTAGGTATCTTACCCCATCACAAGCTAATATTAGAAACTCGTCAATCTCTGGCTGTATGACAGTTTCGGTGGTGAATGGGTGTCCGGTGACAAGATCCTTCATGTAGGTATCTCCCAAAGCGCGGGTGACGGCGAGGACGCCATTGACACGGTTATTCAAAATCAATCCTCCGGCATTGGTTATTCGTAACCCTTCATTTTCGTCGCTACCCTTGTGGTCGTATGATAGGCGTAATGCCTTGCCATTACGGCATAGAATGATCCTGGCGTCACCGACGTTGGCAGTGTACAGAACCCTGGAACGAATGGGCTGGTCGTCCTGCGGTGATATGGCAGACGCGTCCTCAGAGAGACTTGGCTTCGATCCCTCTACACTGGTACCTTCAGGGTCGTCTGCATTGCCCTTTTTCTTCGTTGATTCAGCAATTGATGCGGCCGGGCTGGGGAGACGGTCTTCCCATCTTAGCACTGCAATGACGGCAGTACAGCCACTATTTTTTAACGGCAGTTGTTCTAGCTGCTGATCTACAGAGGTGAAGGTCTGATCAAGGAGCATGGGCACTGGAGCACTAGGGTTCTTTCGTATAGTGTCTTCAAGAATCAGATGTAGTTTCTTGCCGCACCATTCTGCAGCAAACGAGCCAGCATGGCCATCAAATATGGCGAAGTAGCCATTGTCAGTTTCCACCATCTCCGTGGAGGCAGCATCATCGGTTGCCCCGCCCTCGCTCTGTTTCGAGGTATCGGCCTGAAGTTGCCTTGTTGCTGGGGCAAGAGGGGCTCCGAGGAAATTGTAGAGATAGGCGTGGGTGTCCTCCATCGTTCTCCGGCATTTTCTATTTCTATCTTCGGTAACACCGACCTGGAAAGAGGAACGCGAGGTGGGCATCGATTCACCGGCAGAGTTGTTCAACGAGCCCTGAGGGACGATCAGGGCGGGATCCATCTTGCCCAAAATCTGCAGAGTCGTCAGCGCAGCTTGAGACTGCTGCTGCTGCTGTGTCGTAGCCGTAGTGTTCGACGTCGTCGTTGAATCCCTGAGCTGGCTCTTGAGGCTGGAGAGGTGCAGAGAATTCTTTGCGCTGGCGAAGAGGGCCGCTGCCTTGTTAACGGAGCTGTTTCGCCGTTTCTTGTCCCCGGGCTGGTTCCAGCGCTCGCACGCACGCTTGGAAGAGTCTGTCAGCGAGAAATGGCGCTTCTCGCGGCTGGACGAAGAGGGGTTCTCGTTCGTTTTGTCGGAGTTGGCGCTGTCCTCCTGCGAGTAGGACGCGGCTGGGCCTGTGGACGATGAGTTGGAAGCCGTCGACGGAGAGGACGCGGCGGCAAGGGAGGAATCAGCTTTCTTCTCTTTGTTAGGGCTCGAGAAGCCACCGAACATTCTGTTCAGGATCCCGCCCTCGTTCGACAGACTCGCTCGCTTCCTTCCTGCCAGCTTGACTTCGCTGCGGCCGGCCTAGGGAGAAGCGACAACAGGTGACGGGCTCCGGTTCTTCGATCTCAGCCGGCGGCTAATCGGGCGAGCTAGAGCAGCGACGACGGGTCAGTCAGGACGAGAGAAAACGGCTGGGGTAGAAGCATCACTAGCTAGCTGTCGGCCGGCCTGTCTGTCTGTCTGTCTGCCTGTTGGCTGGCTGGCTGTGCTGGCTGGCTCTGCTGGACTCCAGGGCCGCGCATAAGGCGTGCCGCAGATGACGTTTCGGCCCCTCCAGCGGGCGCTTCGCCAGCGCCAAAAGGCAAAAAGACGTGAAGAAACGGCCAGGGAAGACGTACCTGGAGGCTGCTGCTGCGAGTCGTAGCGGGAGGGAGGAGTAGAGCGCGGCTTTGGGTCTACTGTGGTTTGGTTATTTGGTCTACTACTGGGAGGGAGGTCGACGTTTTGTGGGAGGTTTTTGTGCTGTTTGTGGTCAGACGGAAGACGGGTACTTTTTTTTTTTTTTTTTTTTTTTCCTTTTCTTGCTGCGATGAAACCAACTAACTAGCTAGTTAAGTGAGCTCAACTACGACTTGATGATACGCTGAGATCCTGCTGCCTGGCCGAGGTTGCCACGGCGGGCTCTGCAGAGGGGCTGGCTGCTCGACATGGTTGCGCTCGCTGGTTTATTCGAGTCTTTGGCTGTGCTGAGGACGAGGAGGGAGGAGGGAGTTGCAGCCGCAGCCAGGCTCGCTCAGGGGCAGGCCAGGACGACGACGATGAAGACGAGAAGCAGATGAACCCGCGGGATACAGGCTGGTCATGGTGGACAGGACCAAGATGGCTGCTTGGTGCTGTTCTTCTCTGATATCTTTGCGCTGTCTGTCTCTCTGCTGGGGAATTGAGCAGCCGAATATCACAGTGATGTCGGCTCGCTCGTCTCCAGACTCGATCAGCATATTCTAGCCCTTCGACCTAGACCCCAGAGACCGTATTCGTTGTCCTGATTTTACCCACTGGCTAGGCCATGGATGGGCCGACAAGAGTCTCTGCGGGCGGCTAATAAACAGAAATTCCCTGCGGTCCATGAGATATTACTATTGAAAATACCCGCGGATTAGAAGACACCGAGCAGTTGATCCTGGGCCCCTGGCACGTTACATCTTTCTGGAAGAACACTAGACCGAAGGATACAATCCATGCCCCGGCTGGAGAGGTCACGCTGCCTCCAGGCCGGTTGGATATACCCCCGAGGGCTTATTTAGCGACATATCTGGGGGGGACGGGGGGGAAGAGAGGAGAGGAAGCATCAGGGAGAAAAGACATCTAGGATTGTTCCCCCCTGGACAAAGACGTTCACCCCACAAAAGTCTAAGCTAATGGGTTATATACAGTGTACACACACATGAAGGAGGAAAAAGCGGTGGCAAGAGCCCCGAGGACTCTTGAAGGATGAGGGTGGTGGCCGTTCTGGGGCTGCTCGCTTGTTCACTCTCTGTTCAGGCAGGTATCAAAAAGTCATCACCGCTACCAGCCCCGTATAGGCAGATCAGGGGGCAAGGACACCATGGGGGACAACTCGTAACATGCATAATTCTAGGGTAAGGTATTATTCTTAGTACCTGCTTGCATGTCCATGTTCCTTTTCTCTTCTCTTTTCTTGAATTAGAAATGCAAAAAAAAAAAAACGAAAGTGTACTTATATGCATCACCAACACGAGTCACTTTGAAAAAAAAAAGATTAAAATAAAATAAAAGCAAGAAAGCAGGATCCTGGATGCCAATCAAGTTAAGTTAGTTTTCTGCTCTGATGGGCTCGTTCCCGTCCGTGGTCCACGTAACTCCGTAACTCCGCTGCTAGAATATATAGATATCTCCCTGGGTGTGTGTGCAGGCGTGCGTGGTATGTATATCTATTAGTACACTTCACTTGCGTAGACTGTCCAATCTGGCTTGCAAGTCCTCGTTATCCGTATTCCCGCCACCACCAACTGCTTGGGCAACTCGGGCCTCCTTGACTGCCGTGCCTTGTATTCCACTTGGTGTCTCTCCGAGCTGTGGCCAAAGCAAAGGGAGGGGAAGAAAGGTCAGCTGTCAGTTGAAAGTAGAATGAGAACAGGATATGAACAGAACAATACATACCGCCTGCCCGAGATCAACGCCAATCTCATCCAACACCTCCTTGACAATCTCTTCTCCTTCTTCTTCGTCATCGAGACCGGTTGCTTCATCAACAGCATCATCCATCATCTCCTGTCGTTGATCCATGATCTCGTTCTCTCGTTCAAACTCCATGGCAATCCTCTGCAGAGCAGGCAGATTCATCTGCTTGTTCATGCTTCCCAGCAGTATCGTTGCTCCCTTCATCGACTGTGCCATCTGCTCATTACTTCGAACGGTCTAGCAAAGAAAGGATCAGCCAGTCAGCAATCAATCAACCTTGGTCCAGAAATATATATATAATATATATGTGTGGTATAGAAACGGGCTGGAGCCTGGCCCATCCATACCTGAATCCGTAGTGATATAGCCTGCAACTGTGTCCGCATCGAGTAGAACTTTTGTATATACCTATAGCCCGGCTTGTTAGACCTGAATTGCTCTACCAGTCAAGCCGTTCCCCAGACGATCGTATGGCCATACCTTCGTGTCCGGACAAGGTCCTTTGCCTGGATCTTGCATGCTGCTATCTGCCCGTTCTTTGCGCTCTTCTTGATGTCTGCCACCAGCTTCTTCTCCTGGTT